TCGTGAAGTGTTTGACCCATCTTTGCTTCTAGATATTTTATGGTTTCCGTTCTTATGTCTAGGTCTTTAATCCACTTCGAGTTGATTTTTGTGACAAAGCAGATGTCTTTTTAAAAGGCGGGTCCTGGCTCCGCAGGTCTGGGTGGCGCCGAGCCTGGCATGTCTCACCAGCTTTGGGGGTGCCTGCAGGCTGGCCTCGGGCTGCACTTTGATCAGCAAGCCCTGGGCAGGGAGGCGTCTCTCGGCCCAGAGGCGCCGCAGGGCGGGCTCCACACCGGCTTGCTGTGCCCCGCAGGGGTGCAGTGCATGCATGAGACGCAGAAGCAGCTGCGGAGGCTGGTGCACGAGATCGGCCTGGAACTGAAGAGCAGCGCCGTGTGCACCCAAGTGCGGCGGACGCGCGACGGCTTCTTCACGCTGGACGACGCCCTGCTGAGGACCCAGTGGGATATGCACAGCATCCAGGATGCCATCCAGGCGGTCGCCCCCCGGGTGGCAGCGGGACTGGAGAAGAGCTCGAAGCCGGAGCTGGCTGCCCAGCAGCTCCCCAGGCCAGCCCAGCCCTGGGACTCTGAGGCGAGCAGCGCTGCTCGGGGGCAGGACACCTCTCCCGGGCCGAGCCGGGGCGAGTAACGTGCAGGAGAGCGGGGGAGCTGCCCAGTCTGCGCGTAAAACTGAAGCAGTAAGACGACAGGCTTGGTGCCATCGAAAAGGAAAAACTGCTAGGTAGAAGAAAGGACGATCAGCAGGGGACCGGTAAACACACCGGCAGCGTTTCCAGCCCGCCAGGCAGCGCAGCTTGGAACACAGAAGCGAGCGCAGACACACCTGGCAAGGCCCGCGTTGCGCGTATCGTCGTCGTGTGTGTTTGCCCCCACGCCAAAGGCCAGGGAGCCAGAGACGTCGACACTCAGCCCTCCAGTCACAGGGTGCCCAGGCGAGGCGTCCCTCTGCCCCTCAGCATGGAGAGGTGAATAACAAGGGGCCCCCGGGACCGTGCTGGTGCCTGGGAGGGCGTGTGGCCTTGCGGGGCAACTCCGAGCAGCCACCGATCTGACACCCAGCTGCTCACCCAGAGACCTGGGCTCTAGCCCGGCCGCCGGAAGTGAGTGCCCGTCGGTGTGCCACATGTGAGCCACTAGTCAGGTGGCAGCGTGACAACAGTGACCCTCATACAGGGAGGCGCCCCGGCTCACTGTGCAGGGGCTCGCAGACTCCCCTCGTGCCAGGCGCGAGAGCAGTCAACACGCCCCATCGTCAGCTCCTTCCTGAGCCCAGGGTTTCGGCCCAGGGCTCCCGTGGTTTACAGGAGCCAAGCCACCCAGGGGCCCCCACGAGTGCCCCAGGGGCCCGGCAGGGCCCACTCTTGTGCAGTCACCCGCCTTTCTGCTGGGGCTGTTGCTGCTTTGGTGGCGCCCCCAATCCAGGCTGGCAGACGAGGTGCCGGGTCACTGCTCTCACGGGGGGCTGAGCACGGGACCCGGGCTATGGAGGGCACCTCGTCGCACCTCGCTGAATGCGGGGTACATGCTGAGAAGGGGCCTAGACAGCCTAGCCCCCACCCCACAGGCTGTGGCACGGCCTCCTGGGGCTGCTTTTCTGTCTGGTCCCTGGTTGACCACAGTGTGGGTGAGTGACGCGTGTTCCTCCCTGGCCAGAGCACCTCGACCCCTGTGCTTCCCTCGGCAGTAAAGGAGCAGACAGCGTCTCTTGCATGATTTTGTCTGCAGCTCTGAAATAGTTCCAGACTGGAAAAGGTGGAAGGGACAAGTACCCTGTCAGACTTAGGGGGCCCCTTCACTCACCTGGAAACTCCAGGAAGCCCCAGGGTGTGCTGGGGGCCGAGCCCCTCCCGCGGGACCTGCCCCGGAGCTGTAGCCTTCCCCTGAACTGGGAAACGCAGGTGTTTCTCGGGGCGCCGTGAGCGGGTCAAGCAAACTGGCAACCGGGGAAGGGACTGGGGAGACCCCACGGCTAGCCCGGTGACGGCCTGGGGCCCGGGGTGGTGTCTGAAGCGGGCTGGGCTTGTGGGACTGAGTCCTTCACGTGTGGGTCAGCTGCCTCCTGCGCAGTGTCAGAATCGAGGTAAATTGCAGGACCCCCGGCTCTTGCCACCTGGCTGGGGAGACCCTGGGTGGAAAGGAGACAGGAGCGTTGCTTCGCTGGTGTACAGATGTGGGACAGATACGTGCTGAGTGACTCACCGGGTTGCTAGGGTCTCCACAGGTGGCATCGCAGCACACCCCAGGTGACAGCGTGCTTCGTGCATGCAGATGGGAGAGCGCACACAGACGCCCCACACGCCACCGCCGACTTGCCCACTTGGGGGCACGCACAGGGGTCCGCACGTCTGAGTGATGGGTGAGCGTCGCCCTTTGTTGTGCTGGCGTCTCCCCGCCAGGTGAAGTACTCTGCTGGCTGCATTTATGTAACAGCAGAGGCCACTGGGCCTCCCTGGTGGCACAAGGGGTTAAAGTACAGTGCTATGAAGCTGTCTGACGCCCCTGCAGCACGCATTCAATGCCTGGCCAGGGAGGGACCCACGGGGCGCGGCAGACCTCTCCTGTCTCCCCGCTGCGCCCCTCAGCAGTAGATTTCAGTCAGCCGGCCTGTTCTGCAGTCCCCTCTGACTCTGGTGCACCTTCTCATCCCCGCACTTATGGCCTGTACCCCATAAATAAATACTTAAAAATTAAAATACAGGTCACCATTCCTCCCTCTCTGCCCACCGGGTAAGGGTGCCCCTTCCTCCAGAACCTGTGGGGGTGACCGGAGATACAGCGCTCCCTTGAGAAAGTCTCTGACCTCTTCCCCCCTTGGGCATTGGGCATCTGTGCACTGGGCAAATTTGCCACTAGGATGGGGCAACTTTCCCTTGGGTGCCTGCCACTATTCAACATTCAGCAGTGTTTATTTAGTGCCTACTATCTGCCAGACCCTGCTGAAGCGCTCATCCTGCATCAGTCCAGCGGACTGTCTGAACACCCACGGGCTGGCCAGCTACACTGGGCAGCCTGGGAAGGGCTGGTGGAGGTGTGGGGGACGCAGGGCGGCGGCCAGGAGACGATCTGGAGGTAGAAGCCTCCCAGGTCAGGGAAGAGCCAGCGCCGCCCAAGGCACCTGGAGGGTTTCTCGCCGAGGCACATCCCCTGTCCTGACAGTGGTCCCTGGCCCTGCACTGACTCCTTTTACCTCTTTCCTTCCAACCTGGGTTCCTTTTTACTACTGTTTCTTGTTTAGTTGCCCTGTTAGGACTTCTGAAAAGTCCTGCCACTTACAGAGTGAGTTTGACATCTACCTTCCTTTCCAATTTGGGTGCCGTGTCTCTGACCCAGAATCCAGCGGGGCCAGGCTCCCTGGTGGTGCAGGGGTGAAGTCTCAGCCACTGCAGCACAGTTCCCGGCCAGGGAGTGACCCACTGGGTGCAGCAGACCTCTCCTGACCCTCCCTCTGCTCCCCCCTGCAGTGTCTTTCAGTCCATCTGCCTGTTTTGCTCCCTACTCTGACCCTGGTAAATCCTCTTGTCCCCCACACCTCTGGCCTGTACCCCAGTTCTGTATGCATAAATAAATAAATCAATCTTTAAAAATAAAAGAATCCAGTGGGGCCAGGTCCCTGGGCCGAGAAGACCTGCACCCTGGAGGCACCCTCGTGTATTTTTTTAGCCTTGCAGGGTGAGGGTCAGCGTGGCCGGTGCTGGCTCCTTCTCTCAGGCACTGACCACTGGCTTCTGTGGAAAGTAGGACCTGGTGCCTGAAAGACTGGGCAAAGCCAACACTGTCAGCTGTGCCCCTGGGAGCGGTCAGAGAAAGTGACGACGGCTTCTGATGGGCTTAGGGCTGCCCTCCGGGGGTTTCCGTAGTCGGTCACCAGTACGGAGGGTATTAAGAGAGCACCCCACACTTGGAGCGGTGTCCCAGGACCCCAGGGTGCCTGGCCTGCTGCTTCCTTGTGCTGCCATACCTATGGCAAAGTTTAATGTAGACATTAGATGCAGTAAGAGCTCGACAGCAACCACTGACAAGCCAAAGCAAATGTAAGATCACTAAGAAGAGTCAGAGGAAGGGCTGTTTCCCAAACATCTCACTGTGTAATCATTTCAGACCACAGTTGCCCATGAAAACAGAAGCCTCAGAAAGTGAAACTGGCTACGGGGGAACAACTGTATCCCCACTTTGTGGGTGATGCAAGCTGGCCAGGAGCGACACCCCGCCTCGCAGAGACCATCTACATTTCAGTAGGACCATGCCCTGCTGGTTTCCAGAGGGCAGCTGCTCAGATGCCCTTCGGCCTCCAGGCCTTCGCACCTCTGACCCGGGCAGCACGCAGACCTCAGCACGACAGACCCGCTGGCATCTGCGCCCGAGCCAGCACCGCCCACTCTGTGTGTATTGCGGCCGTGGTCACTGCCCACTGCCCAGGGCAGCCATCTTGTCCTCTTTGGGGCTCTCGGCTTCTGCCCGCCACCTCCTCTCCCACCACCCTCCCTCACCCGTAAATTCCCAGGAAATTTCACCCCCATTTTACAGATGGGGAAACGGAGGCACCAAAGAGGTAATATTTGCGTGGGCTTCATCGCCAGTCGGAGGCAGGCACAGGCTTGAACTGGGTAGCCTGGCTTCCTTAACCTCTGTGCTAGTGACCTCTCTACCTTGACATTGGCCTGAACTCTGCGCAACCCAGCTCTGCCCTGGGTGTGTCTCCTGGCGGATCACTGAGACCTTGGGGCCGGGGAGATACTGGCCTAGCCCCATGGAAGAGCCGGGCCTCAGGTGGGAAGCCCATACAGGTGACCCCCCTTATCACAGGGGTGACTCCCTATTATAGGTGTCCTCTCCGACCCGTTACTGTAAGAGCTGAGGCCAGCAAAACCTCGGTCCTTGCCTCACCTCGCTGTTCATGGAAAATTCAGAACAGAGCCGGCAACGCTAGACTCCCTGGGATCCAGTGCAGAGATGAAGCCTGGGTGGGAGCAGAGGATGTTCGCAAATCTCAGTTCCCTGGAAAATTAGATAACTGTATCTCGGTATGCAGCTGCCATACCACCCCATGTGGGTCCTCAGTGGCCAAGAGATTATAAGAGGACTCAGTGTGGCTGGTCATCTGGTCATGTCCTGATTGCCTCGGGCGGGGGAGGGGGGGAGGAAGAATGTGTGAACAGGGACCCTGAGTCATGGCCAAAATGTTAAGCCAAGATGCATCCTCTGCTGAGAAAACCACCCTAATTCCCTTGGGAGCAAGTGTTCTCCTTAGTAGGTATCTTTTTTTCCTGATCGTCTTCACTGACTCCCATGGCCTGCCTTTTTTTAAATTTTTTTTTAAGATTTATTTATTTATGCATACAGAACTGGGGTATAGGCCAGAGGTGCAGGGGGTGAGAGAATTCACCAGAGACAGAGTGGGGAGCAGAACAGTTAGATTGACGAAGTACACTGCTGAGGGGAACAGCGGGGAGACAGGAGAGGTCTGCGCGCCATGTGGGTCAACTCCAGGGTCGAGGATCTAACTCGCACTGATAGCACTGCTGTGTCTTAACCCGTGCGCCACCGGGGTGGCCCCTTAGTAGGTATCTTAAACCCAAAAGCACGAATGATTGGTGTTACACCAGATACATGATAAGCCGCATGAGATACATATTTCAGCTTTAAATTTTAAATTCAGCTTCTGAGTGTCTTTTAGGGAGGCCTCCTTGGTGGTGCTGGGGTTAAACACAGAGCTGTCAGGCGATGGCCAACCAGCCAGGGAGTGACCCACCGGGAGCAGCAGACCCTCCTGTCCCACCCGCTGCTCCCCTCAGCAGTGTAGTTCCGTAGTTCTGCCTGTTCTGCTCCCCACTCTGTCTCTGGTGAATCTGCTCAACCCCTGCACCTCTGGCCTATACCCCAGTTCTTTTATGCATAAATAAATTTTTAAAAAGAAAAAAGAGAAATAAAGAAACACTTTTAAAGCCAAAGTGTGAACAGCCCTACCTACCTGCCCAGGAAACCACCCTCAAGAGCACCAGCACCTTCGCCTACAAACTCACAGGCCTCTAAGTCTTCCTGCCCAGGAGATGTGGGCACCCAGGGGTGGGGGGACGGCGACCCTATGCTGTGTGTCTGGCTTTGGCTTGGTGGGGCCTGGGTGTGAACCTGGACCTGCCGTGTTTACTGGTGGGGAGTCATCCGCCGACTTGTCTATAAAATGGGCTTAAGTGACACCCTGACATTCTCTGATTCAGAACTGCCTGTGTATAGTTGTATTTATTTATTGTGCCCATGTATTAATCATTCTGCTCTGGAGCCAGGCGCTTCACAGCCCAGACAAGGCCTCACGGCCCAGACAAGGCCTCACGGCTCAGACAAGGCCCTTATTCTCAAGGCGTTTCTATCACAGGAGGTGCAGGCAAGACCACGGGAGAGGTGAGCACCCCAGCAGGGGAGTGAAGCAGAGCCTGGGAGCTGCTTTCAGCTGGGAATCCAGGAGGGCCTCTCTAAGGTGGTGACATACCAGCTGAGCCCTGGACAGCAGAGCAGCTCATGTGGACTTGGGGGCAAAGTTTTCTAGTCAGAAACACGGACACCAGGCCCAGACATCCCCGTTGGGGTTCAGTCTTGGGGTAGACCAGGGTGTTGGGAGTCCTCTGAAGAAAGGAAGGCAGCTTGCGTGTCGTCAGCTTCTAGTAAACCCACCCGGCGCGCATAACAGTACGTGTCAGAGACAGGAGAGAGACTGCTTTCACACCACGGCTTCTTTTTTTCCAGTTTCTTTTAATTCTGACACATGCAACAGAAAACCTGGCTAAAGGCTGACGGCAGCTGCTAAGTGGCAGGTAAACCCTGTGACTGCACCTACCTGCGGCCCTGAATCGGGCCCTGTCATAGGCAGGAAGCGCAGTGGCGGGCGCCTGGGCTGGGGTCCGGGAGTCAGCGTGATAGAAACAGGTTTCCTCTTGGCAAGGTGACAAGAGCTACCGAGGCCAAGGAGGTGGCAGGGCCCTGGGCATGCACTCACGTGGCAGAATCAGACCCTTAAAAATGGGTAAACGTGTACATTGCCAAAATATCCTCAACGAGAGAAACCAACAAAAAGTTGTTGAAATCAAAACACAGCAGGGCCTCCCTGGGCGCAGGGGCTGAGTTTCAGCACGATGAAGCTATGGGCAGCCACTACTGCGGCCCAAGCTAGATTCCCCAGCTGGGGAGTAACTCCCAGCACACGGCAGACCTCTCCTGTCTCCCCGCTGCTCCCGTCAGCAGTGTGTTTTGGTCCATCTGCCTGTTCTGCTCCCCACTCTGTCTCTCGGGAATCTGCTCACCCCCTCACATCTCCGGCCTGCGCCCCAGCTCTTGTATGCACAAATAAATGAATCTTAAAAAAAAGAGAGAGAAAAGAAAAAGACACAGGGTTTTCATGACAACCTTTTAGAAAGACGAGGTGAAGACAAATGGAGACCAGCCTCGAGAATCCCCTGAGCTGACAACCCCTTTAGTCACACCAGCAAAACTTCATTTAGCATCTTTTGCAAGACTGATTTGACCTGGGTCATTGCGTGTTTAAACCTCTGGTGAGCATAAACAGAACTTCAGCTGTTTCCCAAGGTTGATATGAGGTAACCAGGGCTGTTCCCTGTCACTGAAGACATTTTCGACATGAGAACCAGGCCCCGTGGAGAGTAAGCTACACTTTGGCCCCAGTTTGCAAACAGTTTGGTGTGTGCGCGTAAACTCAGTGCTCCAGTTTGTTTTGGTTTCCCTTTGGTTATTTCTGGATCTCTGACAGAATTTCTTGACCTCACTGCTCCTCTAGTGACTGCATTTCGCTTCCTCTAGAACAAAACTCTCAAGAAACTCATTTCTAGTTCTCCCAGTTCTTCCCTTCCCATGCTTCCTGGAGCCCACTGTAGTCAGATTACCTCTGTCCACTGCTCTTGCCAAGGTCCACAGGATGGATGGTTGACTAGCTAAATCTCACACAGAAGGCAGCAGCCTCTTTCTAGAACCTTCTAGCAGCCTCTTTCTAGAACCTTCTGCCTATTCCCGTTCCTTTTCAATCTCCTGTGCTGGCTGCTCACCCCCCTGGCTGTCCTTGGTGCCCACAAGCCCCATCTCAATTCACTCTCCTCTGCCCCAGATGATGCCAGTCCCACACATGGCCTGCCCACGCTCAGACCTCCCAGCAACGCCATGCCCAAATATCTGTCACTGGACATGTCTACTTCAACGTTCAGTTGGCATCTCATCCCTGACAGATCCTAGACCTACCTCCTTACCTCTCTCCCTCTCTTCCCAAAGACTTTCTCATTCCCAATAACCAGGGCCAGCTGGTTCCCTTTTCCCAGCTCCCCTAGAAAGGCAGCCAAGTTCTGCTGCTCCCTTCCTTCCTTCTTCCCCCCTTGCTCGGCTGGGCCACACTGTTTCTGGAATGCTGCAGTCCAGGGCCATCTCCTTGCTGCCCCCTGCCCCCCCACACCCCCTACAGGGATCTTGCTGCATCTCTAGTTTAGAACAGTGCCTGAAAGTCTTCTCTAATCAAAGACAGAATGAATGAATGAGCGGGTGAGCAACAACGATGCCCTGAACTTGCCTGTTAAAGTAAAACTGCAAGGCCCTTGCGTCCCCTGGAGGCCAGGAACGTGCTTAGGGTAGTGTCTGGGTCCTCATCCTCGTAAACCGGCTGCCAGCTGCCCGTATCTTTACAATCACAAAAGCAGCCTCTATCTACCATCACTTGTGAGGGGGCTAAGGCGGGTTATTACCGCCTACTCTATCAACCTGGAACGGGGTCTGGTGTGGCAGGGAGCCCTACCAGCCCAGCCTCTGAAGCTTCCTGTACGTGGCCTGGCAGCTGAGCTGTCTCCCTTGGGCCAGATAAAAGCAAACAAGTAAAATTAGCTAGGTCAAAAAACCAAGGGAGAAAACTCTACCCACCACCTATAAACATCTTAATTTCCTCGACATCTCCCCCTTGGAGTCCCCGAGCACAAGGCTTGGGGCACAGGCAGAGATAGGAGGGCCGATGTTAGTCACCCCAAAGAAGTTCCTGTCTGGATGAGACTGGATCCGGGTGCTGCTGGGGCGGCGGAGGGTGACTCAGAGAGACAAGCATCAAGTGGGTGGTGGGGTGTGATTGACAGGGACACGGGCTGTCCTGGGGCCTTCCAGCCCACCTGTGGCCTGCTGAGAAGCAGCCTCCCTCAAGGTCATCCCCGGCCCAGCACTCTTCTTCATGTGGTCCCCGCTGTGACCCCTCTAGGCACTTCCTGAGCCCCTGAAAGGCAAGAGGAAAGACGACAAAACAGGCTAAGTTCCTTCCTGGCAAACCAGCCTGGCGGGTCTGCCGGTGCCAGGGTAGAGGGTGGAGCAGCAGGTTAACTCTGCCAAGGCAGCTAACCAATGCCAGGGCTCTGGGGAGAAGCCAACTTCAATCCCACCCGGGTCTGATCTCGAGCAGGTGCTTTGGGCCTGGTGGCCCTGCAGCCAGGCTGGGAGGTGGGGTGCTGGGAGGCTGAATTTGGTGGCACTGCGTTTAGAACAACCCCATCAACCACCGAGAACACCCGCCAGGTGTGCTACCCAGCACACCTGGGGAGCTGGTGAAAAGGGCTGGCCTGCCCTGCCCCAGGCCTGCCCAACAGAATCCCAGGGGAAGGAAGGGTGGAGCCCCAGATCTTTGTTTTCAACATCACTGTAATACCTGGTCATTTGGAAATCCTGGTCTTTAAAGAGCACATCTCCCAGAACCTTCAATTTCTGAATCTATTTAGCCGTGTTTCCTGGGGGCAGTGACTTAACCTCACTGAGCTCTTTTTGCTTCCCCTGGAAAATGGAGGTAACTATGGGCCTCTTAGGGCTGCATCAGGAATATAGTAAGTCATGTCAAATGCTGATCTGGGCCTGGCACAGTCAGCTGCTATGACGATCCCCAGTGAGAGCCTTTGGGATTCTGGGATGAGCACGTGGCCGAGGGAGCTACGGTCAGGAAGCATCTACCCCTGGTTAGTCAGAGTTTTGAGGCTCCCGGCAAAGGGCCCAAAAGTTCCTGCTCAGAGGCATGAGTGAAGAAGGAATAGGGTCCAGGCGCGATTTCTGGCCTCTGCACAGACGAGGCCAGGTTCTGTGACAGAAGCCACTTATAAAAAGCACAGTGGACATTTGTGTTTCAGACCTTAGGTTTAAGGCTTAGAGAATTCTAGATTCAAGTTCTGAGTTGAGAGACTGAAGAGAATCAGCCTCACTGGGAGGCGGGACAGCCCACACCAGCAGGGCTCTCTGGTGGACCGCTCGGCCACCCCTGAGACCTGTGACCTCCCACCCCCAAGAGCTGCAGCTGGGAAGTGGGATCCCCTGTGGTGAGGCTGGCCAGGAGGCCTGAGCACAGCTACTGAAGGCTCACCCCCCGCTGACCCAATATTTTGTGTTAGTGATCTACTGCTACCACCCCTCTATGGGGGCACCTCGGCCAGGCCACTGCTTTGGGTGTGTTTGTCCCCTTTCACCTCATTCCCATCGCTGTCCTGCGACTGCCTGGAGCTTTCATAACGCCTCAGCCAGAGGGCTGGGGATTCCACAGCACCCCCCCCACCACCACCACAGAGGGTCCTGGGCCCCTGGGCTAGCCTCCCTCCTGCACCCCCATTGGAGCAAAGCTGAAGTGGGGTGCTGTTTGGTGACACAGCTTATGAGGTCAGGGAGGCCCTGAAGCGCCCCCATGGCACCCAGGGACGAGATGGCAGGCTGTACTGTGTGAACATTTCGAACTCCCGTTATTGCCTAAATGCCGGATGAGCGAGCTTTATACGGGAAGCCTTCAAATAATGTTAGCGCCGGGCATGGTCCTTCAGCAACATCAGAACACACTTGTCATCCCCTCTCACAGTCTCCTAACTCCCCCAGACACTTCAGACCCCTGGAAAGGGTGATGCTGGAGAGAACCCGACTTCTGTAAGGGTCGCCCAGAGGGTCCAGCCTGTCTCCCAAGGGCTACATAGGTCCCACCTTCCCAGTCCAGGGCTCCCAGCAGAGGCTTCCCGGGTCGGGGCGCATCTGTGCCGACACTGCCCCCTTGAGGCCGCTGCCCGCATGACCCCACAGCTGACCCAGGGAGCATGGACAGGGGCTTGTTTTCTAGGCCTCCACCTTGGGGTCTTAAGATGAGCCCCAATGTAAATGTATTTGGAGCACTCAACTGTATTCATCACCAACCTGAAGGCCTGGATTCTACCCAGGTGCCTTGTTTTGCCCACCCAAAGACATGTGCAACTCAGGGATCCTTCTCGGTGGCCTAGGGGTTAGGCTCAGCGCTACCACTACTCCAGCCTGAGTTCATCCAGGCCAGGGAGTGATCCACCAGGCGCAGCAGACCTCTCCTGACCTGCCCCTGCTCCCCTCAACAGTGTTTAAGTAGAGCTGCCTGTTCTGCTCCCCACTTTGTCTCTGGTGAATCTTCTCACCCCCCCCCCTCGAACCTCTGGCCTGTACCCCAGTTCTTGTGTGCATAAATAAAATAAACCTTTACATAAGTAAATAAATAAAATGAGAGTGGGAGGAAGGAAGAAAATGAAGAAGGATGAACCAGACTGAGAAGTAGCTGGACCAGAACTAGGTGAGCTAGGTGTGTGGAGGGGCCGTGGGGACAACTGTCTGCCCCTGCCTCGCTGCTGACAGCAGAAAAGTGGGGAAAGAGAAATATTACCCACGACCCTCTTAAATAAACATCATTACTTTAGAACATTGCTTACTTTTTCTCATAAGTCTGCTTTTAATGTCTTTCTAATTTTTTTTAAGTGCTAAGAGTAATACAGGTGAGCTATGGAAAACAAAATCTGCACCTACCCTCCCCCACCGAAAAAAAAAAGACTGTCCAAAATGTAGAATTGGGTTCAGCTTGTGTTTGGGAGAGATGCTGTCCCACACCAAGATATAAACCTGCTGGGGAGCACCGTCCCTAACCAGCCTCCACACTGAGGCCCTGAACCCTAGTTCTGGGCCTGGCAGGGCTCTGCCCCCCGCTGCCCTCCCCCTCCCTTGACCAGTGGCCTCTGCTGCACCCTCATCCGTGTCCCTTCTCTCTGGGACATGTCCTCAATGTCCCCTGACTGGCTGGTGCCACTCTAATGTGCTCCTACAACCCACGGCAGCCAATCAAGTTGTGCTACTATTGTTTCTAGTCCCAAGACCCAGAAACCCTGTGCCCAGCTCTTGGCACTGAGAGACTTTAGAGGCAGAAGCAAGAGAAGGCAGCTCTATGTGGAGAGAATGAAGTAGGGGAACCCTCCTGAGAAGGGGTCACTACTCGTGGGGTTCCCAGCTTGGCTGCTCCGCTCTCCTCCTGCTTTTCCCCTGTAAAGTGAAGTGGCCTGGGAGGTGAGTGGGTCAGGCAAGGTGATTTAGGGCCTAAGAACTGTGACAAGCTCAGACACTTAGCCCAGTCCTGGATCCTTTTCCACTGGGTCGCTGGCTCTACCCAAGACCTAAGCAAACAGGACAGGGCCACCATCTCTGAGGTACCTATGGAATGTACAAGATGTGCGGGCGAAGCCGGCAGTCTTGTTTTCAGAGCACACCCAGGCTGGAAGGAGCGACACTAAGGCCTCTGGTGTGAGGTTCTCGGTCAGAAACCTGGGGTCAGGAGTCAATCCGCTTTTGCCGTAATTGTGCTACTGTGTCTTTGACAAGTTGTTTCCACTTAATGGGCCTGTTTCCTCTTTTGTAAAATGGAGGTACAGGCGCTCCCTGGTGGCACAGGGTGTTGGAGCGTGGCACTGTGAAGCTGTCCATAGCCACTGCAGTGGGAGTTCGATCCCCGGCCAGGGAGTGACCCACAGGATGCAGCAGACCTCTTCTGTCTCCCTGCTGCTCCCCTCAGCAGTGTGTTTCAGTCATTCCATCTGTTCTGTTCCCGCTCTGTCTCTGGTGAATCCTCTCACCCTACCCACCTCTGGATGCACCCCAGTCTTGTATGCATAAATAAAAATTAAAAAATAATAAAAAAAAGAGGCATTTCTTAAGTAGCGTGAAAAGTGGCTGCCATTGTAATGTGAAAAGTCTAAGAACTGTCAAGGAAAGTTCCCAGGGTCCTCCCTGGTGGCCCAACGGGTAAGGACATAGCACTGCAAGCTGGCCTCAACTGCTTCAGTGCAAGTTCAATCCGCCGCCCTGGAGGTGATCCTTATGGAGCGGCAGACCTCTCCTGACCCGCCCGCTGCTCCCCTCAGCAGTGTACTTCGTTGATCTGCCTGTTCTGGTCCCCGCTCTGTCTCTGGCAAATCCTCTCACCGCCCCTGCTCCTTTGGCCTGTACCCAATTTCTCTATGCATAAATAAAAATCTTAAAAAAGAAAGAAAGAAAGAAAAGCTCCCAGACGCAGATGTGTGCAGGCACGCGCGGGGCATGACTAGAGCCTCCCCAGTAATCCTCTCCTGCCCGTGGTTTGGCTTCCTGAAGTATCACACAACCTGTGGTTAACCACAGCCAGGAAGGATTTGCACACTGAGATGCAGAGAGCACCACGGTCCGCGGAAGCCTGGTACCACAAGCTGCGGCATGCGGCATGGCAGTGCCTGCTCTCACGGTTCGAACTTACAGCGCTGTTAGCCTTGCACTGTGCCGGAGATACAAGGCCCGAAAGCAGAGGGGGCACGGAGTGAGAGGCTCAGTGCTGCCCGGGGCTCACAGCTGCGGGGAGTCTCAGAAGACCCCTGTCCCTGAGTGTCACGGCCTGGAAGGGGTCCGCGGCCTGGAAGGTAGCAGGGCCAGCTCACGCTGCTGCCTGCCCAAGGGCTGCCGTCCGGCACCCAGCTGCAGCTCAGCACTGCCAGGTGTTGGGTCCTCGCCCAACCCCAGCAGCACATCAAGCACCCAGGCTTGCCTCGGCCCAGCTTCCCTCTGGGGCCACGTGGGGATAATGGTCCCCGAGCACAAGCACGTCTGCCCCAGGGGGTGGGCGGTGCCATGGCGCCCTCACCATCCTTCACGTCCCTGCTTGGGGTACCAGCAGGAAGCTCGGACATGGAAGGTGGGCTACCAGACCCCCACCGAAGGGGGCGACCGAGAAACCTTTATCATGTTGCCCTGCCCGCAGGCCTGGCGCCTGTGTGTCAGGGTAGCTCATGCTAACTGCCCCCATGAACACAGCACAATGCTAGAATTTTCACTGGCAGAGGTCAAGGCAGAGGTGCTGTGGCCACACAGCTCCTAAGTGGACAGGGCTGGACAAGCGCGGCCAGTTCGAGGAATCAGACTGTCCCCAAGTGCCGCTGTCAAAGTCATGAGAACGGCCAGCAGGCCGGGGCCAGTCAGAACGCCTTCCGCTGCTGTGAATCCCTGCCCTTGTCCATGGCAACAGTCCAGCATGTCTTCTGTCAACAAAGGTCACTCCAAAGGTCACCAAAGAAGAAATGACAAAGAGTGTTCCCTTGTGCGGTTGAGTGCTACCACTGTGGACCAGAACCCTCCATCTGCTGCCTGACTGACAAGGACTTCCAGAGCTGCCATTACACTTGCAGCTATTACCGGCTTGACCCCAACCCCTAAGGCAGTGTTGACAGCAAACCCACCATGGAGAGAAGCCCAGGCTCCAATCGCTGCCACACACTGGCTGTGTGGCCTCGGGCCAGGCACTTAGCCTCTCTGAGCCTGTTACCTTGTCTGTAAAATGAGGCTGGCAGTACTACTTCTTTACTGGGTGGCTTTATGGTTCAGAGATGATGACTTAGGGGGCATGAGCACAGTGCCCCTGCCTGTCAGCTGGCCACCACCCCAGACAGGCCGTTTCTCGAGGGGAAGGGAGGGGCTGAGGGAGGAGCAGGAATCAGCAGGCTGACCCACAGGTAGATGGTTTATTTACAGCAGGGCACAGACACGTATGGAAGGGCAGCTCAGGAGGTGTGAGGGGGGCACCCCTCCTCCCCTGATCCCTCTGCTCTGGGCCCCTACTGATAGGGGCCGCTGCCGCGAGGCGGGGCTCTCTCTGCTCCTCGTGTCCATCCATCCGTCCTAGTGGGTGGTGGACGAGAGGCGCAGCCTTGGCTCAGTCATCTACGTCCAGGTCAAATTCTGGATACAACTCTTTGGTGGCAACACCTCGGATCACGGCTGGGGGAAGGAGGGATGAAGGTCCAGGGCCTGCAGGGCGAGCGGCCCACTGCGGTGCCCAGGCCCCGAACCTTCACCTTCCGGCTCCCTTGTTGCCAAGAACACCGCTCCTTCCGGCCCCTGTGCCGTGGGCCCTGGCCGGCCACCCCAAAGTAGACTTACTGAACCCCAACCTACTGGGCAGAGGAATCCCACAGCTCCTCAAGGATCCTCTCTCCTCCCGGAGCAGCTGGAGGCAGCACTGGCCCCATCAATCTCCGACTCCATGGCCCCCAGGGCTATGCCCCTGGCCAGAGTTCTCCTCTGAGGCCTTCCGCCACCACCTGATCTCAGTCCCACCCGGCGCCCTGTGCCTGGCTCAGGTACCAGTGGCCCCGGCCCGTTTCCTTTGCAGCATCTCAACGCTGCGCTTCATGATTCCCTTGTTCGACTTCATTCAGTTGGTGAATGAACAGCTCCCGCGCCCCATACAATAGCGGAACACAGCTCGTGAGGTCAGAGACCCCTGGCCTTTGGCCCCCCATCCCCGCAGCGTGCACGGTGGCCCAGACAGGTGCTGCCCAGAGTCAGTGGGCAAGGGGCGGAGAACAGGGCGGAGGACAGGCTCCCGGCCGACCACTGTTGGCCGCCCCCACCCCTAAGGCAGTGCTGACAGCAAACCCACCATGGAGAGAAGCCCAGGCTCCAATAGCTGCCACAGACTGGCTGTGTGGCCTGGGGCTTTCTCCGTGGGCCTGGTCTTCCTTCCCTCTCCACCCACCTACACGTCCCTTTGCGGTTTCCCGCGCCCCCTCCTATGGGCTTGTTCCCCATCCTGTGGGCCTGTTCCCCATCGAAACACAGGGAAGTCCTCCCCATCAGCAAGTCCGGGATGCTCGTGGGCGTGTAAGGAGGAAGCCGGCACTCAGGATGCCGACTCAGGCTGTGGGGACACAGTGACGCTTGTGCCGCGGCCCAGCGCTGGCGTCCGTGTGGCCATGGGCCAGAGCCAGGTGGCGCTGAGATGAAACGCCGCTTTGAGCCACTTTGGGCCCCTTTGCACTTGCTGCCTCTGAGGTGCGCTGGCTACTCGAGGAAAGGATGGTGTCTGGGAGCCCCTGGAGACAGGCTACCCAGGCCTCAGTCTGCGTGGAGGTGAGCGCGTCCTCACCAGGCGCCAGAGTGCCCGCAGCGCCAGCCCCCACAGCCAGCCCCAGACCAGAGGAAAACCAGGGGATTCAGGCAAGTGTGGCTCAGGAGGGCCGGCAAGGAGGGCGGCAGGGCAGAAGGCCCGGAGCAGGTCTATGCACAGTGGGGCGGGGCCGGGGCATCCCTGGGGCCCTGGGTGCTGCCCGAGTCCTGCCGCTCACCGAGTTTGCCCAGCAGCGCCTGGCCGACATCCTTAATGTCATTATACTCGTGGAGCTGGGAGATGTGGTCATCCAATTCAGCCACACTGTAGCCTCTGGTGGGGGAGGGCACGGAGAGAGAATCATTGGCAGAGCGCGGCCTCAGTCAGGGGCAGGACTCACCTGTTCGTGAAGAGCCACCAGGTGCTGGGCACGGGGGATGCCCTCGAGAGCCATAAGAGTCGGGCAGGGGATCTCCCAGACCATCACCCCTGACCAACGTGCCCCACACTTTGCAGTTGGAGCCCCCCACCACACTGGTCTGATGTGATCCTGGTCACAGGTGAAGCCCGCACAGATGGGCACGGGAGAGGACTCCTCAACTGGGACACGCACCAAGGCTGCTCGTGGGTGCTACGTGGCTGGAGAGAGGGGCGTGGGGAAGCCCAGTACTGTGGAAGAACCCACCTGGCACTGAGAACCCCACTCACGGAGAGGGGACTGGTCCGCAGGGAGGCGGAAGCAGAGGCAGAGACCGTGGGGCGCAGAGAAAGGCTGCGAGAGCGATCACCTCTATTCCTGACGGCTTCCCAGAGCCCCATTCCTGGGCCTCCTGAGCCCAACCGCACCCAACCCCGCGAGGCTGCCCAAGTCCAAGGGCACAGTCCTGTTTCTGCTCTGCCTGAGTTTCAGGTATAAGTTAAAAGTTATTTCTGTTTCCTTTAAGTTAACATTGGTTTTTGGTAAAAGCTATCTGGAGCATGCAAGAACGCGGACAAGACTTACTCAGATACTAATTGGGCGATCTCCTTGTCCAGTGTATCTCTCTTTTCCTTCAGTTTCTGAATGTCAAAGGGCAGAGAACCATCATTGGCCCCATCAGCCTGGCCAGACCGGGGACATGGCCGCTGTGTGGTACAAGAATTCATTAGCCAGACCGACAGACATCTACCATCAAGAAGCCCCAAGAGCTAGCCCCGGTTCTGCCTGGCAGTGGACTGACCCACCCCAGAATGAGACTCCATTTCCCACCTGCCGTGTAACTAGCATGGGGAGTCACGGTGACCAGTGCACAGACCAGACTCAGGCCTTGGCGACTCTCACAGTAAAAAGGGCAAAGGCGAGCTGCAGCTCTAGGGAAGGGCTGTGCGCCCCTGTGAGACGTGAGCCGGCAGCCAAGTTCTGACAAAAGGGATCTAACTCAACCTGGTGAGAACACACGCCTTCCTCTGCTGCCCTGCCTGCAGGCGTGAAGGCGGAAGCTGTGCTGGCGCTGAACAGTACCTTGACTGTGAGGAGGCGCGCTCAAACACGCGGAACTGAGGACCACTCAGAAAGCCACCGTGACCTGGGCGTTCTCGTTCTCGGGCAAACCCGGGCTCACTACAGGGCCCACCAGGCCCGGGGGTCAGCGTCAGGGTCGCCCTCGGGTCTGCTTGGACGCGTCCCTCCGCTGCCGGCTCACATCTCACAGGGGCGCACAGCCCTTCCCTAGAACTGCAGCTCGCCTTTGCCCTTTTTGCTGTGAGAGTCGCCAAGGCCTGGGTCCAGTCTGTGCGCTGGTCACTGTGGCTCCGAGGGGGGGCGGGCCTGGTCACAGCTTACCTGCCAGGCATGGGCAAGGCTGCACGGGCTCAGCAGTGGTCAGATGCCAAGTTGCCCGGTGACAGGAAAGATACGGTGTCGTCTCAGGTACAGAATGCTCGACCGCCACCCTCTTCCTCTAGATATTGGGTCTCTTTAAAGCTTCACCACAGGTCACACACATCAGAAAGGTCTCCCCTGACCCCCATGACACGATGCCCGTGTCGTGGAACCCCAGGGTTCCTCTGCCCGATGTCCTCAGTCCTCAGTCACTAACTAGCATGCTGGACATTTCAGGATAAGGATCCCCACTGCTGGCCGCCCCCACTGGCGTATAAATGAACGAGGACAGGGTGCGGGGGGGGGGGGGCGGGGAAGCACAGCGCTGAGAAGTATCCGCAGCCCCTGCAGCCGGGTTCCAGCCCCCGCTCCAGCCCCGAGTGACCACAGGGCGCAGACCTCTGCTGTCTCACCCCCTGCTGCCCTCAGCCCTGTATTTCAGTCAGACTAGCCTCTTGTGCTCCCCACTCTGTCTCTGGGGAATCCTCTCACCTCCCTGCACCTCTGGCCTGGATCCCAGTTCTTGTCTGTGTAAATCAATCTTTAAAATAAAGTAAATAAATGAGCAAAGATCAACCCCGTGATGCGGGGACCGGGGTGGTGGGACCTCACTCGCTAAAGCGGGGGCGCAGCACACTCGAAAGCAGACCCATGGAGAGAAACAATAACAGGATTTATTTCCACAGGGAGTGAGGAAAGGGAGACCCGAGAGAGAGCGTGTCTGGCTGGCTCACGGCCAGGTCTGTCCTGCCCAGGGCACAGCCTGCTGAACGACCAGGGGCTAAGTGAAGGCGCCCAGCGCCAGCAGTTCATCCCCTGAGGCATCACTCAGCCCCGATTCCCCATGAGCCCCCAGAGGACAGGCCGGAGGCACCAGCCCTCACTGGCCCCCAGCTCACTCTTCAGAGCATCTACATGAACCCACAGGGACAGACCAGCCCACTCACCACCGGATGCGGGGTGTGACACATGGGGCACCCGCGGATCCCAGAGAAGCTTGTGGAGCCCCAGGTGAATGCACCTGAGTGAACTCATGACACCTCTGACAAGGTTTCCAAGTGGAAGTACAGGGTCTGAGGAGGGTCCCAGGACAGGGCTGAGCCAGAGGTGGGGGGTGCGGCTTCCCCAGGAAACTACAGGATGGGCAGACATCCTTGCCAAGCAGCTGCAGGAAAATACTGCCAAGGGGGACAGAGCACGGTGGGTCCCGGCGGGGGAAGGCTCAAGGAAGGGAAAACCATGGGGCACACAGGAAAGCCGGTCACATAGGTGGCCCGGGAGGGGAGAGCGGAGCCCACCTGAGGGGGCCTGGGGCACCCCTGGGAAAACGCAGGCACTGCAGCTGGGAAACCTACCGGGCGCAGGGGAAGAAGGGCAAGCCCGAGATAGGGCGCGGGACTGCTCGGCAGGAGGAGGTGGGCTGCGCGGGCTCCGGGAGCCCTGGGCGGGCTGAGCCGCGGCAGGCACGGCGGGACGCGGAGACGGGTACTCACCGGGGATCGGAAGGCCCCGCGGCAACTGCTGGCCCGTCCCGGGGGCGTCCTGCAGAGGGATCCGAGGGGGGCGAGGCTGAGCGGACCTGGAGAGCGCCCTGGGCGGGAACCGGTACTGTGGGGGTGTGGTGGGGCGGGAGGTGGCCCGAGGAGGAAGAGGGCCGAGCGGGACTGCATTAGCTGGCCGGGGGCTGACTGACCCCGGGGATCAGGGCAGGAACCTCGGCGAAGGGAGACTCGACGCGAGTGTGTGGGCCGGAGGGGTGGTCCCTGGGGCCAGAAAGCCGGGACAGCAGTGGGGAGTCAGGACGAGGTCCGTGAGGGGGTGCACCTTCCTTCTGCTTTCGCCCCTCACCCACCTCCTGAGTCCTGGGGCTCGAGGACCCCATCTTTGGGGTGTCTGCGCTGCAGGAAGGTCCAGGGTGGGGGAGGGGCAGCGGCCTCTCAGGTCCGCCAGGTAACCGGAACCCGGCGACGAAAGCCGTGAAGTGGCGCACCGTGAGTTGCGCGCGCAAGCAGCGTGCTCAGATCCCGCCCCCAGGAGGGAGGGAAATGGGGGCTGCGCGCGCAGCTTCACCGTGGCTCCACCCGCAGCTCTTGACGAGCAGGGTCCTAACCCCGCCCACTTTCCCTTTCTCTTTTTTCAGAGACCAATAGAATTAGCGAGAATAGGTCACGCCTACCCCGGCGCTCACTAGGACCGCCCCTGCACCGCCCTTTCTGGCTCACTCGGGTTGTGGCTCGGTGACGAGTAGGATCGCTGCGCGGAGAGTTGTGGGAGTGATGTGGCCCCCCCACCCTCCTCCCCCTCCCGCGATGTCGGAAGAAACCCGACAGAGCAAATTAGCTGCGGCTAAGAAAAAGGTAAAAAGTGTCGGATCGCGGATCCTTGGTCCAGCCCGAGGCCGACAGCCGGCCGGGGGGTGGCCAGAGTCTGGGTTGCCCTGGAGGCACACTGGGTGAACCCCTCGGTACCCCTTGGCGCCCCGTCTCCCCCAATCTTCTCCGCCAGTCCCGCCCCCCCGGGAGCTCAGCCCCCGCGTTCGCCCGCAGGTCCCGGGTGACTTTGGACTGTTGACCCCCAGGGCTTTTTGAGGGGTCGGTTGAGGATCGGCCCTCTACTTTTGTCGCCCAGACTCGGACCCTTTTTTTGGGCTCTGGGTCTCCAAGGACCTAAGTCCCTGTGCGCCCCTCCCCCAACCGCAGAGCAGCGACTTGGGCGTCGGTTGGGTGGAGTGGAATGTCGTGACGTCACAACCCCCCTAACTCTCTTTACCATCTCAGCCAGAGGTGGGCTCTTTTAACTCAGCGCCCCCCCCCTCCCCTCCCCACCCTACGGGAGTGTTTCAGGTTTCTCTTGTGCACCACAGATAACCAACTTCAAGGGGACTCAGGGCCTGGGACTCAACCCTGGGAGAGAGTTCAGGCTCCCTTGGTCTCGCTGTACCCCACCTTTAAACACTGATAGGACTTCAAAAGACTCCACTTTGACAGTACACTTCCCTCGACATCTAGCAACACTGACAACCACTCTGAGTGACAGTGGAAGAATTTTTTAGTCTGTTTTCTCCTGGGTTCCCACTTCTCCGCCGAGACACTCCCAATTTCTGTCTGACTTCTCCGTGCTAATTATAATTCTGCATCCTAATTCCTATGACCCTGGGCCCAGAGGGCCCTGGTCAGTGGTGATCTGTGTATCCACTGTGGTCGGGTTCCAGCACACTGAGCTGGACACTTGGGATCTGCCCCGAGTCTTCTCAGCATGGGCTGCTCTGCACCCGCAGGACAAGTGACTGCAGCGTCGCTTCTGCTTGGGTCCCCTGAGAAAAAAAGCAGCCTTCCGTGTTCCCGTCCATAGGCATGGATATGTAAGGCTGCGATAGACTGCTCTGGAATGAGCTTGGCTGTCCCACGCCGGTACCTCATTGCCTCCTGTCTCCTGCTGTGGTGGAGGAGCCAGAGCGGCGCCGTTCACAGTGAGCACGGGCAAGAAAGGCCCTGGTGTCTGGTCACTCACGTGCTCGCTCTTCCCTCTCTCTCTGGTTTTGTCCCCTGGCGGCAACCGAGAGCTTCATGGCCTCCCAGAAGTTCCAGCGGCCCTTTTTTCTTGAAGCCGCATCATATTCTCAGCTCATTTCTTCTGTCACCGAGGAGGGACTCACAGCACCTGGTGGAGTTGTTGGTGGCAGAGACGTCGGGGGACTGAAGGCAGATGACAAATCTTAGTTGTCAAGTGGGACGTGAGTCCAGGGGCTTGTCGCGTGAGCCTAAACTCTCTTGTTCCTCTCTGCAGTTGAAAGATTACCAACGGAAGAGCAGCTTGGAGTCTCCTGCAAGAGTTAAAAAGAAAAAGAAGATCAAACATGACAGTAAAAGCCCAGAGACAACCACTACTGATGGTTGTGAGTCATCTAAAGATGTAAGTCTTGCGTGGCCAGGCTTCCTGGGAGAGAGCTGCTTCCGGGGCCATTGAGGGAGAGGTTAAGAGGTGGCGGGAGTTGGCTGTCAGAACCCTGGGTCCCAGTGTGGCCTCTCCATAGCTCTGCTGGGGGTCTGGCTTGGGACAACATTGTTGAAGCTCTTTCTCCTTCTGTGAGTCAGGATTCCACAGTCCTGCTGAAATTCAGGCAGCATCCCTGAGATGACGGTGAAGTCATCCCTCAGTGCGGGGCCCGGTGCGCAGCAAGCCTTCAGGGACAATCACATCCTTGCGCGGTCTCAGTTTTCTCACCTATAAGGTGATATCGTCAGTGTCGTTGAGACAGATTCGGGAGGCTTGGTCCCTCTGTTGATTCAGGGTGCTTTCTGCCTGTGGCGAGGCAGGGAGTGGCGTTTGGAAAGGGGCGCAGGCCGTGGTAGGCTCCGTCTTCCTGTCTCCAGCAGCCGTCGGCCCGAGCTGCTCCCGCCTTCCTCCTCTGACCTTCTCGTCTCGTCTTCTCTTCTCTAAGCCACTTTTCTCTTTCTCCCCTTGCCCTTGTTTTTCCCTTTTCACCTCCTGTAGATTCAGGACATGCTGAAGGTGCTGGTGTCCGACCTTAACCGCTCCAATGGGGTAGCGCTCCCCCCATTGGACAAGTGGAAGGTGAGGCAGAGCCGACCTGCCCGCTCTGGCTTGCTCTCTGCAGCGTGTGCATGCCTCTGAGGCTGTGTGGTGTGGGGGTCCTTGGCCTCTCGCTGATTTTATGTTGCTGTCATTAACCCTCGGTGTGTCCATGTCTGCTGTTTCACCTGCTTGGTTGATTCGTTTTCTTCCCTGCCCCACATCTTTGGCCATCTGGGAGAAGACACAGTACACCATGAAGGTGACGAGGTAATTGGGGAAGAGCTTCCAGAGCCGGTGTGTGAGATTTGGGCCTCCCGAGCCTCCAGGGTGAATACTGGGGGCCCTGTCCTACTGGGAGAGCCTAACTGAAAGAACAAACAGGGCCTCGCCGTCTGGGCATGACCCCAAGGGCACAGGCCCCAGGGCAGTTGAGTTTTCAGAGCGATGGATTCCTTTGAGTGCCGCAGTGGCAAATGCAGGTTAAGGCAAAGGGGCTTTTGTTAGGCTCGCAAGGATCCAGGGTACTTTTGTAGCAGAACTGCAGAGGACACTGAGTTACCCAAGGAGAAGGGTGACTGGAACATGAAGGCCCCATTGTCCTTTGGACACCTTCACCATCTGAAGGGCCCTTGACGGCAGACCCTGCTAGGTGGCGGCGAGGTGCCGCTGTGGCAGCTGAGGGCGCAGTGGACCCCGGGGCCTGGAGGCTGGAGGGTGGCGGCGTCACTGCCTCGTAGAGGTGGGCAGTGTTCCTCCAACTGGGCGTGTTTGAGGTGGGAGTCCCAGGCAGAGGGTCTGTGCAGGAAACGCTCAGGATTCTGAGCCCAGAGACTTGGCATGAAGGTGGGGTGCCCTGGGCTGGGAGATAACCTCCCTTATCCAGATGTGACAGTGTTATTTCTTCCTCAACTTCCTGAATCCAGGAAGCAAGGTGTGTGTGTTGGGGGGGGGAGGAGAAGAGGGGTCTCGGAGGAAGGCAGACTGCTGCCAGGCGAGAGGCGGAAGAGTGACAGGGACAGCGTGGCTGGCAGGAGGGCTGGGCCGGGCCTGGCGGCAGGCGTGGGTCTCGTCAGCAGGACTGCTCATGCCGGGATCAGGTCTGTCCAGTCCTGTGACTCAGCCTGTGGGCCGAGCAGACACTGAGAGGCACCTGAGGGAGCCCAGGGCTCCCTCAGCAGTGTTCACCCCGCCTCCCTGGGCTCCCCTGGAGACGAAGATCCAGACCCCACATTCCCCTCTTGTTTTGAAACGCTATCTGTCACCTGAGGGTCCCCACTCCAGTTTTCCCCACAGGGACACAGGCCTGTGACTCCGCTGTGTGCTTGGAGCTGACTGCAGCTACAGAGACGTACAGGAGAAATAGAAGGATTTCCAGCGATGGGGCCTTTGGCGGGGGGGTGGACTGTGCAGTCTTTTCTTTTTTTAAAGATTTATTTATGCATACAGGACAGGCCAGAGGTACAGAGGCAGTGAGAGGATCCCCTAGAGTCAGAGTGGGGAGCAGAACAGGCAGGTTGAGGAAGGACACAGCTGAGGCGAGTGGCTGAGAGGAGAGGTCTGCGGCGCCATGAGGATTGCCACTGTGGTGGAGATCGAACTGGCACCAAGTGATAGCTGCCAGCGTCGCAGTGCTGCGGACTAACTCACTGTCCCGACGGAGGCCGAGAGGGTCGTCTTTTTGGGCCTCTGGACTTGGCTGTGAGGCTTCAAATCACCAAATGTGGTTGCTCTCAAACCAGCCGTGTCTACTTCAGCCCTAAGAAAAGTGCATTTCCCCTCCTGAGCTTTCTTGCGTCCGGCGAGGGTTCAGTGGTGGCCTGGGAGGCACCCCGGGCCTGCCAGGCCCCGGCTAGGCGTGCCCACCCCACCATCGCCCCCACCCCGCAGCTGCCTCGCTTTGACCTCTCAGCGTTTGTGTGGAGGTTGGCATGGCAACACCAGGATCCGGGGCCAAAGGTGGGCGGTGACCCTACCAACAGCTGACCGCCCTGCTGGGCTCTGCAGCCCAAGTGTGAGGAGGGGAGCAGGTTGGGGTTTTGAGGCGCCAGCCTCGGGGTCAGAGAATAGGTAGCCCCTCCCCCCGAGTGGGCTGCAGCCCGTCGGGCCAGGGCCCATGCCATGCACTTGCCTCGCCTCCAGCCTCTGCTTGCTGGCCACCCGTTGTTGACCACCCTTCTTGCCTCTGTCCGCCTGGCCCGCTGGACACTGGGTCTCAAGGGCCAGGGGCTTGGATTCAGAGTGGGGCCTGCGCCTGGACAGAGGCTGGTGGCACTGTGGCCGTGCGTGATGTCCAGCCGGACTAGGGCAGCAGCTTGGCGAAGTAAGGCTCTGGGCCTCCAGGAGGCCACGGGTCAGTGGGGAGACTGCAGGCCTCCGGTGGCTGTGGTCGTGTCTTAGATGGGGGCTGCCCTTGAGCTAAGAGTTCGGGGTGCAGATAGCAGCCGTGTTTCTCTCTTACCAAGTCCAGCAGCTGGGTGTGGAGTCCGGTGGGCTGCTTCTTCCCCAGCAAAGGGACGGCCGCCCACCAGGAAGAAAATCACTTGAATGGGACATTTGAGGGGTGTGCCTGTGACATCCACACTGAGCTGCAAAGCTTCAAAGCATGGATGACTGGTCACTCACGAGCCAGTCACGTATATTGAAGTCCTAAGGAAATGTCCTCTTTAGTCCTTCTGCGCCTCCCCTGCGTCGTAACTATAAAGGTGACCGGGAACCCAGGAGTCGGGAGGCCCGAGAGCCTGCCAGCCCCGGCTGGGCGTGCCCCCTCTCCATGGCCCCTGCCCACCAGCTGTCTGGCTCTGACCTGTCAGGGTCTGCTGTGGAGGGTGGCATGGCAACACCAGGGTCCGGCCACTGCCCTGGACCCCCGCCCTGCTGAGCTTGCTGCCCGGACTCCTGTGTGTACCTGACTGGGAAGGGGGACAGGCAGGGACGGCACGAGAGGGGAGAGCAGTACCTGGCCTCCTGGCCTCGAATGCGGCCCAGGGTGAGGGGCAGATGGCCTTCCGGAACAGTGTCTTGCTTCTCCCAGACCTGGCACGCCTTACTTCCTCTTGCGTGACTGACACGGGGAGTTCCTGCCCGGAGACGGGGCTGTGTCTGGAAGTCCGCAGTGTGACCAGAGGCCTGCCTCCCTCAGCCACACTCCACAGTGGTGGCCAGCATGTGACTGTTGTGACTGCAGCGTCCTCCGTGCCCCCTGCCTGCACCCCTTCACCCATGGCAGCGAGGGGCAGGGGCCCTCTTCCCTGCATGGCTTCCTCACCCGTTCCCTGCTCTGTTCTGGTACAGGCATTGGACCATCCCGCCACTCCTGCAGTGACAGTTGGGGATGATGATGACGCCAAGTCACCCGCTGTCCCTCCTGCCAGTGCTGCCCCCCCTGGTAGTAACAGCATGGCATCCACTCAGGTCTGTGCCCCTTAACGCCTGCCTGCACCCCACTGGTTTGGCTGTCCTTCGGGAAGGACCGTGTCTCCAGGATTCTCCTCCACTTCCTGTGGGTCACTTGGTTTCTAGAGCCAAGTGCCCTTCCCAAGGATGGGGTGCTTAGTCCAAGAGGTCAGGGACTGGAAGGGGTTCAGAATGTGCTTGGCCCACCCTTCTTGATCGGTTTTACCAGAAACTGTATGACCACCTCCTGTATTTCTTCCCCCACAGAACTGTGATGCCGAAAATGATTCCAGCTCCTTGGATGAGAGCAGGTGAGTGTGTCTGTGGGCAGGCGACCCAGTAGAGGGTGGGCGGACGGACAGTCCCCTGCCCTGGGTCCCCACCACACTGAGCATGCACCCCTGATTCTGCGTTCATCCCAGGGCTTTCTCCTCCACCGAAGGCCTGCGACAGCTGTCCCATCAGCTGAATGGACTTACATCAGAGGTATGCCGCGAGTGGGGGCCCGGAAGTGGTGGTGGGGGGAGTTTGATAGTAAGGAACTATGGGAGAAGATACCAGGAGGGTCCATAACTTGATGTCTAGCTGACCACTACTCTGCAGTGTCTCCTGTGAGCCCGCTGGGTAAGGGTCTGGCTGTGAGCCTGGTTCCACCCTGCTGGGAAATTGCAGGAGAAAAGCACGAGGGCCTCTGAGCTAGGAGAAATTGGTACACTGGGTTATGAGCAGAGCGGCCCAAGGTGGGCAGGAAAAGGAAATTTTGCCGTTGCTGGGGAGTCCTGGGACTTAGGCCTGGAGGGGCAAAGAGAGCCCCCCATGGGCATTCTGCATCTCTCCTAGCCTGCCTCCTACGTCAACGGGGAGGACCAGGCGTCTAGAGTCAACATAATGGATCTGGAGGTAAGTGGACCTGCAGGCTAGTACCCGCCTTCCCTCTTGGAGAGGCTGGGTGCCCTGCTGCCAGCTGCCAGCCCAGATCCCCTCCCCACCCTACTGACTCCTTTGTCTACCTGTCCCCACTCCAACTCCTCCTCCTCTCTGCATGCGCCTCAGAGCCGGTATCAAGAGCTGGCAGTTGCCCTGGACTCCAGCAATCTAACCAATAAGCAACTCACTAGCAAGATAGAAGAACTGGTAAGAGCCCGCTGGGGTCCCCTGATTACAAACTGCATTGCAGGGCTCTGATTTCCTCGAGGGCTTGGAAGAGAGGGATTGGGGGCGTCCCTGGTACCAGGGGAGAGTGGGATGCTGGAGGATCTCGGGCTCCAGAGGGTCCTGTAGCACAGAGTTCGCGGCATGGCTCTCTCTGGCTGCCCTCTGCCTCTTCTCTGCTCCATGCGGGTGCACTGGTTTGGCTGGGGTGTTCCCGCCCTGACTCAGCCCCTTACTTCCTCCATCTTTGTACTTGAACAAGACACTTCTTTTCTCTGGGCTTTAGTTTCTGAAGGAGATAGACTTAGATGGTGTCAGGGTCTCTTGTAGCCCAAAAACTCAAAGGCCTGAAGGTTCTTTTCCTTCCTCCCTTCATCTCACTGTAGACAGACTGCCCCCTGCACCTCCGCCCCTACGGCTCATGCTGGGTCTGTATCTGTTCGGTGAATGAACGTAGCCCCAAGTTTCCAGTTGGCAGAAAGGTCATCTTTCCCTTCTCAAACTCTGACCCGAGGCTTCGGCATCATCCTCCAGGGAAGCCAGATTCAGACTCTCGCTTCTGCAGGTGTGAGCAGAAGCACGCAAGACTCAATGTGTCGCTTTAAGGAGCTTGCGGAGGGCTAACAGTTCCTGTCCGCACAGGGTCTAAGAGCTTAAACTCATTTTCACTTTCAATTTTAATTTTTTTAGATTTATTTATTTATGTATACACACAACAATTGGGGCACGGGCCAGAGGTGTGCAGGTTGAGAGGCTTCCCCAGAGACAGAGTGGGAGCAGATCTACTGAAGTACACTGCTGAGGGGAGCAGCAGGCGAGACAGGAGAGGTCTGCTGCGCCCTGTGGGTTCCTCCCTGGCCGGGGATCGAACTCAGGCTGCAGTGGCTGCAGAGAGCTTCATAGTGCTGTGCTTTAAACTCTTGTGCCACCGGGGAGGGGCCCCTAAGAACTTAAATCTCAATCTTGGCTCCGTTCCTCTTTCCTCATATGTCTGGGAGGTTAGGAAAGGGGAAACACCTCAGTTACCTTCCTTTAACTTTTCCCCACAGAAACAACAGAACCAAGAAACATTGGATCAGCTTGAAAAAGTAACATTTCTTTGTTCCTTACCTGACCATGGGTCTGGGGGAGGCTCAGATATGGAGATTCTTGTATTGCCTGCCCTGGGCCCCTCTTGTGCCCTCTTCTCCCCCCACCCCCTTGATGATCTGGTCTCGGGTGGGCCGTCTGTGCCACGGATGGCCTGGGGGGCCTGTGCTTTCCCACTTCACCCCTGCCTCCTGTAGAGACTTGGAATCTCTTTGCAGGAAAGGAAAGAACACGAACAGAAGCTTGTGAGGGAGCAAGGCACGCTTCGAGAACAGCTACAGGTGAGTGGTAGCTGGGTCTCCCTGTCTCCCGGAAAACGCCTCTTTCCCATGTCGTCTCCATGCATCCGCTGTCTCAACAGATCCACATCCAGACCATCGGGATTTTGGTGTCTGAGAAGACAGACCTGCACAATGCACTGGTCCATACCCAGCAGGCCGTGAGGCAGAAAGCAGGTTTGCTCCCGGAGTCCCTCCCGCTCCGCCCGGCACAGCAGCAGGCTCCTTGGGGCTCCACACTGACTCTGCTCGTTGCAGGCGAATCGGAGGAACTGGCTGGTCGCCTGCAGACTGCGCGTCTGCGCATTGCGGAGCTGGAGTGCACCCTCTCTGCTGTTTCCAACAAGCAGAAGCAGACCGACCGAGTGAGCCCTGCCACCTCCCAGCCCCTGGGGGGGAGCCCCCTTGCACCCGGGGTGGGGATGAGCCTCAGGTCCCCGATGTGGCATGGAGCCCTCGCCACCCAGAAGGCAGCACCGCCTGCTGCTGGAGGTTGGGCGCAGACCCCCTCCTGGGTCCCCAGGGAAGGTAGATGGATGACACAAGGGCCTTGGAAGTGCTTTTACAAAATGTGAAGCCTGACTGGGTGAGGAGGGGCTGCATTGCCGCGACTGGTCTGCAGGCGGCGCCATGCTCACGAACCCTGACCCTGCCTTTGCTCCTCCTGTTTGCAGAACAACAAGGAACTGACCAAAGAGAGAGATACTCTCAAGCTGGATCTATACAAGAACACGTAGGACACGGGCTGGGGACTGGGGGGCAGGCTTTGGGCCAGGTCACGTGCTGGGGATGTAAGCGGGGTGAGGTTGCTCAGCTTACGTCCTCTCTGGCCAGCCCCTGGGGACTTGAGCTCTGGGGTCCTGTCACTGCTGTGCGGGTCTGTGGAGAGGAGGGGCAACCTCCAGAGGGACCTTGTGCTGTGGTCACGCCACTCTCATTGTGTGGCCCCAGCAAAACCAGCAAAGATCTGGAGCAGCACAACTCTGAGCTGCAGGAGATGCTCAAGGTCTCCTTGACGGAGAAGGGCAGCATGCAGAAGAGACTGGAGGACCTAGAGAAGAAGCTGGAGATGTCTGAGCTGCTGTTGAAACAGGTAGGGGGTTGGGCAAAAGGGCCCACGGAGTCTGGTGGGGCTGGGTCTCTCGGCCTGATCATGATCTACCTCAGACCCTGTGGGGAGACGTAGACTAGAAGGCCCTGGACTCCACAGGTCAGCTCCTCACTTTTTTTTTTTATTATTATTTTTAAAGATTTATTTGTGCATATAGAACTGGGGTACAGGTCAGAGGCTCAGGGGCAGCGAGAGGCTTCACCAGAGACAGTGGGGAACAGACAGGCAGATTGACGAAGTACACTGCTGAGGGGAGCAGCGGGCGGGTGAGAAAAGGTCTGCTGCGCCATGTGGTCACCTCCGGGGCAGGCGGGGATCGAACTCATGCGGAAGTGGCTTTAGCTTTTCAGTGCTGTGCTTTAACCCGCTGCGCCACCAGGGAGGGCCAGCTCCTCACTTTTTAAGAAAATTCACTTTTGCAACTGGGATCTAGACCACAGGTGCAGGGTGAGAGGATTTATCAGAGACAGAGTGGGGAGCAGAACAGGTGGAGTTATTGGAACTCTCATTGAGGGGAGCAGCAGGAAGACAGGTCTTCTGTGCTGTGTGGGTCAGTTCCCTGGCTGGGGATCGAACTCAGGCAGTAGCAGTGACAGTGCTGAGACTCAACCCCTAGGCTTCCAGGGAGGCCCTCACCTCCTCACTTTTCCCTATGCAGTTCTCCAGTCCATCTGAAGGCCCTGTGGCCCAGCTGTCATCAGCCACGGAGGTGCAAGACGACATCCACATGGAACAAGTGAGGCTTTGAAGGAGAAGGGGCTGTAGGAGGATGGGCCCAGGTGAACAGTAGAGTGAGCAGTGACAGTTCCCTGATGCCTGTGTCCACTCTTGAAGCTAAAGGAGTCGCTCAAGCTGCTGAGGGTGGAGCGAGACCTGCTTGCCGAAAGGCTGAGGGAGGAAGGTACCATCTGGCAACAGAAGTTGCAGCAGGCCTTGGAGGGGGTAAGCAGGCCGTGGAGGCCCCCACCTTAGGAATGTCCCCGGTGTGGGTCATCTGTGAGAGGCTGTGGTGTAGCCAGTGGGGAATGGGCGCATCTTGCAGTTGGAGGCTGAGGGGCTGGCCTGGGTCTGGCCATGCCGCCCTTCAGCTCCTCCCTGAACTTGGGCGCTCCCTCCCCCACCCCACGTTCTGGGCAGATGCGACAGCTGGAGGAGGAGAAGGGGCGCAGCATGACCCAGGTCCGGGACCTGGAGACCACCGTGGCTGGGCTCAACAGCCAGATAGGTGAGCTGGCGCGGGTGGCTTAGCGGGCTCCGGGAAGGCGGCGGGGTGGGGTGGGGTGGGGGCTGCGGGTCCAGGGGCAGAGGGCAAGGGGTCTGTAGGTCTGTATCGGGCTGGGCAAGCCTGGCGGTCTGGGTTGGTGTCCAGTGGGGGCTGACTGTCCAGAGTGGGCTGGCGCCTGCAGGTGATCTGCAAAGTGTGCGTGCATCCTGTGGTGGCAAGAATGCCTAGCCGGGCAGCTGAGGTGTGTCGCGCTGGCCTGGGCTGGGAGCTGGTCCGAAGACCACAGGCCCTGAGGTGCGCGCTCTCTTTGGCAGCTGTGCTCCAGAGCCCGGAACCATCGGGGCCCTCGGAGGTGGAACAGCAGCTGAAGGCAGAGGCCGGGGGCCTGCGAGAGGAGCTGGAGACCCTGGCCCAGAAGCTGCTGGTGCAGGTGCAGGGCAATGAAGACCTTCGCCGCGTGAACCAGGAGCAGGAGCTCCGCCTGCAGGAACAGGAGCTCCGGCTGCAGGAGCTTGAGAGAGCTGCGGAGCTCTGGGACGAGGGAACTGAAGCCCGGAAACGGGTTTTGGAGGAGATCGAGAGCGGCCGCAGTACCATCAGCAGGGCTGTGTCCCAGAACTGTGAGCTCAAGGCGCAACTGGCAGAGCTACAGGATGGATTTGTGCGTTTGGTACGCAGCCTTAAAAAACACCAGGCCGCCGCACCCTCCCTTGCATGTCCTGGGATGTAGGGCAAGGAGCCAAAACCCTTGGGGCCTTTGTTTTCCACCTATAAAATGGGCAGGTCATCCTCATTGGCCAGCTACTGCTAGGTGGCCATTGAAGTGGTACCTGAAGCAATCGTGAGCCAGAGACCTCTGCAGAGTGGGGGTCCCAGACCTGTCAGCAGGTGATACAGAGTTCTGGGTTTCCAACTGCATTGTAACATCTCATTGTTTCTCTCTGTCCAGTCCAATGAGAACATGGAGGTGACCAGCTCACTCCAAACAGAACAACACCTCAAGGGCGAGCTGGTCAAGAAACTTGGCCAGCTGCAGGAGAAGCTGGCAGACTTGAAGGAGGCGGTAAGCCCGCGCCGGCTGGGAAGGGCTGCGAGGCCTCTGGGAGAGAGGTCCCTAGGCCAGGACGGAGGTCGCGCCAACTCGGGGCACGAGTGGCCCTGGAGTCCCGCCAGGTGCGCCACACCTGTGCCTGAGGCGGTGACACAGGGTGGTGGGTTAGCCTGGCTGTAGGTCACCTCCCTGCCAGAGGTCCGAGTCACTGGTGCACAGACGTGTAGACTCCTGTGGGCTCCGGGCTGCGCTCCAGGCCAGCTCTTCCCGAGCAGCACTTAGCCTCAGCACCCCTCCCTTAGAGAGCACCAGACAGCTTTTGTGATGAGGTGTGAGGCAGGGGCCAGAGTCCTGGGGTGCTGTCTCCGCCTCCCTTCTGAAAGGGCTGTTTGCTGTTGGTGGTGTCCCACAACTCTAAAGAGCTGTTGACTTGCAGTGTCCCTGGGCGTGGGGGAGGCCACCTGAAATGGGTGGTCCCTGAGCGGGAGGATGGGATTCCGCCTCAGGCTGCAGGGGCCGTCCCCTGGCTAGCCCTCAGACCAGAGAGCCGCCAAAAGGCCAAAGCCAGGGCGCAGGGACAGTGCCTGCTCCAGGTCTCGTCACCCGGTTCTCACCCGCGTGCCCAACTGCACGCCTTTCGGCCTCGGGAACAGCCATCTTGGGGTCTATTTTACTAAGGGGAAACAGGGTCCTGTTGCCTCGAGTGGCGGCTGCCCCATGTGGGCCTTGTCCATAGCAGTCCAAGCAGAGTCGTCCCCTGTCACCAGCAGTGCTATGCGGTACTGGCCACTCCTTGGTCTACGTAGTGTGGGACACACCAATGACTCGCTGAGGCGGCTGGGTTCTGGTGACAATTTGGAGCCAAAGCCTGCCTGCCCTGACACCCCGACCCGTGACTTCCCTGTAGCTCGCCGAGAAAAACCAGGAGGCTCTGGTGCTGCAGCAGCAGCGGGACCAGTACCTCAGCCACCTGCAGCAGTACGTGGCTGCCTACCAGCAGCTGGTGAACGAAAAGGAAGTCCTGCAGAAGCAGGTGCTGCTCAACACCCAGCTGGTGAGCCGGATGCAGCGGGAGCAGGAGCAGGGCAAGGAGGTTGAGTTGGCTCGCCAAGAGCTGAGGCAGCACAGGTGGACAGTCTGGGAGGCAGAGCCCACGCGGACGCCCGCGTAGGAAGACCACCGCGGGGCCCTTCTCACTCTCTTTCTGGGCCCCGTAGGGCCGCCTGGAGGCAGCCAGCCAGGAGAACCAGCAGCCGCGGGCCCAGCTCGAGCACCTGGCTCTGCCTGCCGAAAGTGAGTGCGATGCCGAGGAGCGTGCCCGTGACGGGCTTGGCGGGGATGGAGGCCTCCCTTACCAGGGCACATCCCTCGCCTGGGGACTGGCTGGCCCGGGGTCGCAGGGAGAGGCGGATGGGGCAGTGCTGGGCCCCCCGTGTGTGGCTACTGGGCTGCTTCCACGGCCTGTGGTTGGCTGAGCCTCTCTGACTGCCCCGGACAGAAACTGGACAGGATGTTGAGGAGGAGGAGGAGGAGGAGGCCGAGACTGCCCCGCCAGAGCTGAGCATGCCCGATAATCTAGACAGCCGCGAGGCCATGGTGAGCTCGATTCATGCCCCTCGCCTGCCCCTCCCGCTCTCCCACCTGCTTGTCCTCCTCGGCTCCCCTCCCTTTGCCCCCACCCCTGCTGGGGACCCGTGGGCAGACACTGCACCGTCCTGAGTCTCAGGCGTGCCCCCCGAGGCCCTGTGAGGGAGCCTGTGTTCTGCCTCCCAACCCCCAGCAGCGTGTTTGTAACTGTGGCCTGCAGGTGGCATTCTGTAACTCGGCCTTGGCCAGTGCTCAGCAAGAGCGGGCGCGGCTGCACGGGCAGCTGAGGCAGCAGAAGCTGCTGTGCCAGCGCCTGGCTCACCTGGCAGCCTCGTCGGACCAGGAGCCAAGGAAGGTGGAGGCCCCAGCCCCCGGGGCCGGGGAGGGAAGTGTGTCTGGGGAGACCCACCAGGCCCTGCAGGCAGCCATGGAGAAACTGCAGGTGGGTGCGGTGCCCCGGCAGGACCCTGCGGGCTGGGAGCTGGGAGCAGGACTCGGCGCGCTCGGTGAGCTGTGGAGCTCTGAGCCCACTGTCTGGCTGCAGGGCCGCTTCACAGAGCTCATGCAGGAGAAAGCTGACCTGAGAGAACGGGTTGAGGAGCTGGAACATCGATGTATCCAGCTGTCTGGAGAGACTGACACTATCGGTGAGTGGCAGGCCGGCGCTGGGGCCGGGGCCGTGGGCTGAGGTTAGGGGGTGGCCCTGGAGCTGGGGCACTGCTCTGAGGCTGGGGCTCTCCTGGTTGTGGGCACAGTGCCGAGGCGGGGGGGCCCCTGGAGCTGGGGCATGAGCTGAGCTGGGGATCCCCGTCAGCTCAGCTATCTGTGCTCCCCACCTGTAGGAGAGTACATCGCTCTCTACCAGAATCAGAGAGCAGTCATGAAGGAGAAGCACCGAGAGAAGGAGGCGTACATCAGCCGGCTGGCCCAGGACAAAGAGGAGATGAAGGTAGTGGGGGCGCCAGAACCTCTGTGGGTGCAGTGAGGGGGTCGCCTGCCGTTCTGAGTGTGTCTCCTTCCAGGTGAAGCTCTTAGAGCTGCAGGAGTTGGTTTTGCGGCTGCTGAAGGAGCGGAGTGAATGGCAGGCAAAGTACCAAGCAGCTAACGAGAACCCTGCTGCCGAGCCCGCTGGCAGCCCCTCTGCCCCCAGGGAGCTTGGCGCTGCCAAAGGGCAAGGTGAGCAGGGCCCAGAGCAGAGGGCTGGGAGGGCGAGCTCGCCCCTCCCGGCACTCAGCGGCCTCTTTCTGTCTCTCCGAAGAACTGAATGAGGCCAACCTCGATGACAACCCAACCCAGGGAGAAGTCCGGCAGGGCGAGACGCCCCCCGAGAACCCCACTGCACAGCAGATCATTCAGCTTCTCCAAGACATACAGAACCCCCGGGAACGGGGCGTCTTCACAGACAGCCCGTGCATCCCCTTCTTTTACCGGGCTGACGACAACGAGGAGGTGAAGATAATGGTGGTCTAGGCCACCGGCCGGGCCCGGGGGCTCGGCCCCCACCCGCCCTCGCCAACCCACCCCTGTTCCCCAGCTTTCCCACCCAGCCCCGACTCCTTCCTCCTTTCATCTGTCCCCACCCTCTCAGTAGGGAACACTGCGCCCCAGCCTCCAGGTGGGGGCTGTGTCTTACTCTCTGGGGGATCGTACCAGAGGCGAGGAGCTAGAAACGTCACTACAGGGGCTCGTTGACGACCAACCTAATCCTCACCAGGCCTTCTGGCAGAGGGCCTCAGTTGTACTCAGGCAGTTTGGGGCAGCGTGACCCCACCGCCACCCCAACCGTGTGGAGCGGGCAGCACCTGGAGGGCCCTGCACAGAGGCAAAGTCCAGACAATGTAAACAGCTGGCGGGGGGAGGCACCAACACCTGTCCAGGCTGTAGCCACAGACAACAGTGGCTTATCTGAGAACAACCAGTTCCACAAAAGGGGTGGTCTCCCCTGTTCCCTTTGGAAATGTTCCCAAGGGTGTCAGCACCCAATTTTTTTTCTTTATTTTGTGTTGCACATAGTTATTGTGGAGGTGGTCCTTGTCTGCAGAGGGGAGGCCTCTCCTACCTGCACAAAAGTCCCTTAAAAGTCCCTTTGGGCATCTGTGCCCAATAATTTTGCAGACACCCTGACCTACATGGGGGGGCGGTCTCTGCGCACTTTAAGTCTTGCAGGCTTGAGGCCACCTACCCTCTCACAAAAGGCCCGTGGGCTTCAGGCCACCCTGAATCATTATAGGTTGACTATCCTTCCCTTACCAACCTCACAAGTGACCTGTGGGCTTGATACCACCCCAGTCCCTTACCCCACACAAAGGCCCGTGGGCTGAGGGGATCCAGAATCGGTAAGGGGAGGTCCTCCCTTACGCCTACTCACGAAGAGCCTGCGGGTTTGAGGCCACTCCAGATCACTAAGGGGTGCCCCTCCCTGAGTTGCCCCTCAAAAATGTCCACGGACTTGATGCCACCCTGAACCGCTAAGGGGTAGCCCTCCCTAACCCCTACTCACAAAATACCCGTGGGCTTGAGGCCACCCCAAATCGCTAAGGGGTGGCCATCCCTAATCCCTACTCACAGAATATCCTCAGTCTTCAGGCCACCCCAAACCCCTAAGGGGTAGTCCTCCCTCAACCCCACTCACAAAAGGCCTGTGGGCTTGACGCACATCAAATCACTTAAGATTTGCCCTCCCTGACCCCCCGCAAAATACCCACGGGCTTGAGGCCACCCGAAATCGCCACGAGGTGGCCTCTCCTTGCTCTTTACTACGGCCCCGTGGGCTTTGCTTCTGTACCTGATGACTTTGGAGGCCC